AGTGACGAACTGGACACCTAACTCTTGAACTATATAAATATTGAGATCTGATCATACTTACTATTGTGTAGTCACAGACTGGACACCTAACTCTTGAACTATATAAATATTTGGGTCTGATCATACTTACTTCTGTGTAGTGACAAACTGGACACGTAACTTTTGAACTATATAAATATTGAGATCTGATCATACTTACTTCTGTGTAGTGACAAACTGGACACTTAACTCTTGAACTATATAAATATTTGGATCTGATCATACTTACTACTGTGTAGTGTCAAACTGGACACCTACCTCTTGAACTATATAAATATTGAGATCTGATCATACTTACTTCTGTGTAGTGACGAACTGGACACCTAACTCTTGAACTATATAAATATTTGGATCTGATCATACTTACTTCTGTGTAGTGACGAACTGGACACCTAACTCTTGAACTATATAATTATTTGGATCTGATCATACTTACTACTGTGTAGTGACAAACTGGACACCTAACTCTTGAACTATATAAATATTTGGATCTGGTGAACACTTAAAAAAGTTATATTATATTAATGATATCTACGTTATATAGCTTTTGTTCTCAGTGATTGTACTTAAGAAGATTAACATAATTTTTATTTTCATTAAATTCAAGTTATTTTCAGAATATAACAGTTAACTTGAATTATTTTATTTAGTTTGTGCAGTGATGTACCAGGACATTATTAACGCTAGGCCTTTCTTTGCCATGTTAATATATTGTTTGTTTGATGCATTTCGCACACAGTTACTTACACCCAGGCTATCTGCCCTAGTCGTCTAGAGAGAGAAGATAGCCAGGTCTGGTTCTTTCGAGAAGCAATAGGAAATATTTAGTAAAAATTGGTTTAGAGTATTGTATGTGTAGTTCTTACTACAATAGCACATAACAACATTACTCAAGTGTTTTTGTGAAACACTAAAAGACTAAATAATACATCAGAGAAAAAATATATATTTTTTTCACAATACTTGGACACGAGAGGGGGCAATAGTAGCCTGCCACTATTTTCTCTGACGTCATATTTGCCAGGTCTCTCACCTTTCTTCGTTTGTTGCTAAGCTATATACAATGGGCTATCTATGCTGTGTCCACCACGGGAATCGAAACCCGGTTTTTAGCCTTGTAACCTTTCAGACTTGCCGTTCATCTACTAGGGGTGGGGCTACTGGGGATAACTGTAATAAATATAAGTTCATTATCGCTAAAAATCAAGTTTAAACGACCCAATCGTGTACACATGATACTGAACATGAAAACGTTCTTGGAAGGTTATATTTATAAGAACAGTTGAGCCAAACCGCGGAAACTGCATTTATCTTTGATGGCTGTTTCTATTGATTCATACAGAAATCATTTCTTTAAAATAAGTCAGAAACAGAAAAAAAAAGGACAGTTTACAATAAAACAATAACACAAGTTTGTAGAAGTCATCTGTTCGAGAGTATACCTTGTGTTAATATAACAGAAAAATATCCGATCATTCTCTTCTTCCTCCTGTTAAGCAGGAAAACTAAAAAGATCATTAATCACGATCACTTTAGAGATGATTTATTGAGTCTCTACTCAAGAGGGTTAGCGAAATCTGAGAACGTCGTAAAAAAAGAAAATCGAACAGAATCTTCAATTCTGTCACGAAATGCATTTATTAAAGAGGAAAAACGTTTTTCTTCTTTCTTGATTTCACTCTTTTCGTTTAAAATGTGTTTTTAATTTAGGTTTATCACTATTGGATATATTCAAGTGTCGTATGTGAGAACATCTTAACTAAAGAACGTTTTTATAGAACACAGCGTTAGAAGGTGATCTGAGAACAATACAGTGATTTGTAATGTAAGGAATGAATTAACCGAAACAAGACGTAAGTAACCGGAAACATCGGTAGAAATGTGTTATCATTGACCGACGTAAGTAACCGGGAACATCGGTAGAAATACATTATCGTTGACCGACGTAACTAACCGGGGACATCGGTAGAAATACATTATCATTGACCGACGTAAGTAACCGGGAACATAGGTAGAAATACGTTAGCATTGACCGACGTAAGTAACCGGGAACATCGGCAGAAATATGTTAGCATTGACCGACGTAAGTGACCGGGAACATAGGTAAAAATATGTTTACATTGACCGACGTAATTAACCGGGAACATCGGTAGAAATACATTATCATTGACCGACGTAAGTAACCGGGAACATCGGCAGAAATATGTTAGCATTGACCTACGTAACTGACCGGGAACATAGGTAAAAATATGTTTACATTGACCGACGTAAGTAACCGGGAACATCGGTAGAAATGTGTTATCATTGGCCGACGTAAGTAACCGCAAACATCTGTAAAAATATGTTTGCATTAACCGACGTAAGTAACCGCGAACATCGGTAGAAATACGCTATCATTCACCAGTAAAATTCGTCATTTGAACCGTTTCTTGCCTGAGTTTTATGTTTGCAACACAGCATGCCAAGAAATAAATCTAATTTTGAGTAAAGTTTTGAATGTCTAATCATTGGAATAATTACCTTGTTTCAGTCTCTGTTGTAGTATAGCGTGCTCTTTGTAGTAATCTCCAGGTTAGTTACTTACAAGATGGAACAGCTTTCTTAAACACGGACGTACCAATTAAGAACACTATTAGCAGAACCAATTACGCCATTTTCAGAGTACGACATACATTGACTGAAATTAATAAACTTCAACAAATCCTGGAACAGGGGAAATAATGAACGTTGCGGCTTAAACTAAGAGAAAGACGTCTCATTTCCCTACATTAGATCTTCGAGTGCATTAAGTTTGTTTTAATTTGTTGTTGTGAAATGTCACTAAGATTCAACCAGAGAAAACGTGTTTGAATTTAGTTAACTCTAATATTAGTTTTAAAGGACATTTTTCATAACTAAGCGACTACCCGTCTAGGCTGATAACAATGTTGATACGGGTTATTTTTCATGACTAAGCAGGCTACTGTGTAGGCTACAACAATGTTGATACAGGTTATTTTTCATGACTAAGCAGGTTACTGTCTAGGCCACATCAGTGTTGATACCGGTTATTTTTCATGACTAAGCACAGTACTCTGTAGGCTACAACAATGTTGATGCAGGTTATTTTTCATGACTAAGCAGGCTACTGTCTAGGCTACAACAATGTTGACACCGGTTATTTTTCATGACTAGGCGGCCTACTGAGTAGTCTAAAAACAATGTTGACACCGGTTATTAGGCCTGTGTACACTTATAACAATGATTATACCAGGTTTTTCTTCGGGATTTTAGTGTCTGCAAAGCATCTTGGTTTTTTATCTATCCCTCTTTAACAGAGAAAAGGAATGTATTTTATTTTGGACACCTCCCCCCCTCCCTCCAAATTGTAACCACATACAGTGGATGAAATCATGAGGTTTATCTGAAGTGTCTTAATTCCTCCTGTAGGTTCACAGCTGATTAAAACTAATCTGTCCTGATTTTAAAATAAATGTTATGTCTACATATTTTGTTTTCATCCATCCATGTTATCATTATAAACAACTTAAAAATCTGGTTCAGCAACAAGCTGGAGGGGCAAATATCGCGGTTCAATCCCTGCGGTAGACAAAGCGCAACTTTGCTCTTAACAACAAATAAAAAAGTAATAGTTTGCATTAATACTCTATTCAGACGACTTTTAAAATAGACTAATATTCATCTTCAGACTCCCGTACGTCACTCTAAGAATACGGAAGATGAGATATAATAAATATGCAGTACGTAAGATTGGTAACCATCATAGAGACTGATGAGTTTAATATCCGTACATTTTAAAATTCCTGTCGTTTTGTAAAGAGCCATGCTATTTCTTCTCGACTAAATGACCGACCTCTACGAGGTATGGAGTTTTATTTTCGTGCACATTCACAAGAGGATTCACCGCGTGCTGTAGTCTATCCAGTCATTCGTGTTATGTACTTCAAAAATTGTCTGGAGCAACGAATGTTTTCTGGCACTTTTAATATCGTATTTGACATTAATGAAGTCATTACGAATATTTCATAATTATGTATGAACAGTATTAAGTCCCACCTCATAATTAACTTCACATGACTGAACTAACCACACGATTCACAAGTTTTTCAGTTCTTCCGAAGATTAGGTTTAGGTTTCAGTTTCAGATCTGAGAGTTACGGTCACTGAGAAAAAGTTGATTAAGAAGCAACCTTTAGTAAGTTACATTTTACTTTTCGGTAACAGTTTAAGGATATGTTGTATTTCATAGGTAATAGTTTAAGGATATATTGTATTTCACAGGCTATAGTTTAAGGATATATTCTATTTCACAGGCTATAGTTTAAGGATATATTCTATTTCATAGGTAATAGTTTAAGGATATATTTTATTTCATAGGTAATATTTTAAGGACATATACTATTTTATAGGTAATATTTATTTAAGATATATTCTATTTCATAGGTAATAGTTTAATGATATATTTTATTTCATAGGTAATAGTTTATTGATATAGTCTATTTCATAGGTAATAGTTTAATGATATATTTTATTTCATAGGTAATAGTTTATTGATATAGTCTATTTCATAGGTAATAGTTTAAGAATATATTCTATTTTATAGGTAATATTTATTTAAGAATATATTCTATTTCACAGGTAATATTTATTTCTGTCCAACATGTTTCAAGCACTTTCCAACACATAGCAACAGACTGTGAAGAACATTATCATGATCACTTAGCAACAGACTGTGAAGAACATTATCATGGTCACATAGCAACAGACTGTGAAGAACATTATCATGGTCACATAGCAACAGACTGTGAAGAACATTATCACGGTATGGATAAACGTTATTTTTGGTCAGTTGAAAAAAATCTAGATATTTTTATTAAATTTCTCATAACACGGTACTAAACTAAAATTTGTGTGGATGAAACCTACAATAGCTGATCTGAAACCTATAAATGTCATCGTAAAACCTACAAGCACAAGCGTGAAACCTACAAATACTAACATGAAACCTACAAGTACTAATATGAACCTACAAATACTAACATGAAACCTACAAGTACTAATATGAAACCTACAAATACTAACATGAAACCTGCAAGTGTTAGGTGAAACCTACAAATACTAACATGAAACCTACAAGTGTTAGGTGAAATCTACAAATACTAACATGAAACCTACAAGTGCTAGGCGAAACCTACAAATACTAACATGAAACCTACAAGTACTGGTGCGAAACCTATATATCCTAGTATGAAACCTACGAATAATAAAGCGTATAACTGATAATTATTAGCTGTTGCTTGTTCTGGATTCAGATATCATCTTAGCGTGTGTGTGGTAATAGATGGCGCTTCAAGAGAGACAGAAGAGTAAACGAAAAGTACAATAAGGGAAGTTAGAAACTGACGAAAATTAATTAACTTCACACTAGAGTTGCAAGCTTATTGTATAAGTAAGTGATTTCTTTATGCTGTTGTTATAAAACCATAAACATTATAAAGTTTTCCATCAATCAAATGGATGTCTCATATAAAATTATTAAAGAACCTAATTTACTGTAAAACAATCTGTTTTTACCACGTTTTACGAAACTCAAAAAACGTTTTATTTACCAAACTCTGTAAAGTTTTACCAAGTTTTACCAAAGTATATAAATATAATAATTTAACAGACATTAGAAAATTCTGCAATGGCCCGGCATGGCCAGGTGGTTAGGGCGCTCGACTCGCAATATGCGGGTCGCGGGTTCGAATCCCCGTCCCACCAAACATGCTCACCCTTTCAGCCGTGGGGGCGTTATAATGTGACGGTGAATCCCACTATTCGTTGGTAAAAGAGTAGCCCAAGAGTTGACGGTGGGTGATGATGACTAGCTGCCTTCCCTCTAGTCTTACACTACTAAATTAGGGATGGCTAGCGTAGATAGCCCTCGTGTAGATTTGCGCGAAATTCATAACAAAATCTGCAAAGGTTTTAGTGTTACCAAGTTTTATCAAACTTCGGCAAGGTTTTAGTGTTACCTAGTTTTACAAAACTTCGATAAGGTTTTAGTGCTACCTAGTTTTACCAAACTTCGGCAAGGTTTTAGTGTTACCTAGTTTTACAAAACTTCGGTAAGATTTTAGTGCTACCTAGTTTTACAAAACTTCGGTAAGGTGTTAGTGTTACCAGGT